CACCCCTAAATGCATTGAAGCAACTGCCATGTGATTGGTTGATTAGATGATTGCATTAATGAGAAATTGAACAGGTGTTCCTAATAATCCTAATAATAGGTGAGTGTATATTCATCTGTTCACCATTGATTTGTTGTTGTGTGCGTTGAAATCAATAAAGCGCAGCACTGCTAAGGTCCACTAGTAAAACCTCAACACTCACGAGGCCAGAGCTTCACGGCTCCGGCGCTATACAGCACAAATCACTCACGTCGCCTGAGCAGGCAGGAGCTTAATTGCCTGTCAGACAATCATGGTATCAGGGAATTAGAGCTAGAGCCGGTTACAGTTACACAATCCTGTAAAGTGAAAGATTATTGCCAGTGTGCTAAATGATATTAACTGTGCTGGAGATTAAAATCGAAACTTGTGACACACAAATATTAAATCTATACGCCACACACATTTACACTACCAGTAAAGAGTTTGGACACGCTCACCCATATTCAGATTTTATTACCATTTTCAACATTTTAGGATAAGAGTCATCAAAATATACTTCTAAATTGTCTCTATAATGAAGTATAGAAATTATGAAGAGAGCAAATATCTATACAGTATGTGTTTCTTGTAAAATGAAATAATAAAAAATTATAATAAATAAATAAATAAAATAATGTTTCTACTAAATAAGCAAATACCTTCACATCAAACTGCTTTTAAGATGATAAGAAACACAAATTCACTCAAGTGTGTCCAAACTTTTTAATTGGCAGAATGAACCAACAGGGAGATTAAAATATCTTTTTGTTTGAGTTGTTGTCTGGCAGGTAGAGCACAAGTTGTGCTCTTCACTGTTCCCGCAAAAAAAAATATGTCAGAAACTCTAAAATAAAACAAAAATGGCAAGTTTTATATGACCAAATGGAAATCATATTCGCTTCCTCAGACTGGGTGTGAACACACACACTCTCTCTCTCTCTCTCTCTCTCTCTCTCTCTCTCTCTCGCTCTCTCTCTCTCTCTCTCTCTATCTCTCTCTCTCTCTCTCTCTCTCTCCACTTTTCTCTGACAGTTAATCATGCTAGTAATGATGGTGAGGACAGGAGATCAATGCTGTGTAGAGTTGATCTGCCAGTGGAGAACACATACTGACTTCTAAACCATTTACCACACACACACACACACACACACACACACACACACACACACACACACACACACACACACACACACACACACACACACACACACACACACACACACACACACACACACACACACACACAATCACCTATAGGGATTGTAAACTGCTAAATGACCTTGGTACAGATACACACTCAAACAGACTTGAGTGTAAGATCGTAGACACACAAACACACACACACACACAGAATTGAATTTGTACATTTGTTAAGATAATAGAAAAGCAGTTCATTCATTCTTCTATTTTCTGTATTCACATATTTGAATGGGTTTCATGAAAGATATTGGATATTTGATTTAGTTGTTAAGACCTAATTTTCTTGGCCTTAGCAATACGGTGTTGACTACACCACTATTCCACAGCAGTAAAGAAATCACAAGTCCATTTATTGGTAAAAAGGTTTCATTTGTCAATATAAACTAACAATGAATGAGCAATACATTTGATACTGTATTCGTTAATCTTTATTAGCGATAGATAAAAAAAAGATAAAGCGGTTCATTGTTTGTTCATGTTACTTCACAGTGCATGAACTAATGTTAACAAATACAACTTTTGATTTTAATGTATTAGTAAATGTTGAAATTAACAAAGATTAATAAATGCTGTAGAAGTGCAGTTAAATTGCGTGAGCTTATTTTGTCTATTAAATTGAAATATATGAAAAAGCCCATATTTACACACCCATAGAGCCTCCCCTAAAACAAATCAGGACAGAAGTGGCAAAAAAGAGACGAAAACACCAGGTGTAACTGGGAATGTGTCTCCCTTGTCTACTTGTGATCTGATCGACCAAAAAGCATCTTAATACCAGGTGTAAACAGGGCCACAGACATGGATAAACACTCATCTATTATGTAATGAGGTTCCCCTCCTCTATGACGCAGATCGAAATGTGTGTCTGCTTAAAGATAAAGATAGACACAGTTGAATAATCCACGTCCTCTGGCTCTTCTTCCACCCTGCGGTGCACAGGTGACAGGTGTGGAGCCATGAAGACGACGCTCAAACCGAACAGATGGGCAAACAGAGAGAGAGGCAGAAGGGCACAGAGAGAGACAGGACGCAATCAGGCATGAGTAAATCGACAGAGCACGACGAGAAACAAAGTGCCTGGGCAAGCATGAGTGCGTAAGAGAAGTCATGAATCAAGCATGACCAAGTGACAGAGCGTAAAGAAAGGACATCGCATGATCAGATGGGACACAGTCCTGCTCAAAAGACACACATGTGGTGTGTTTTGGATGCTGGTGTCTCCATCAGGCTTCCTAACTAGCATAACCAACAGAAGGGAGAAATTGAATCAATAACCCTGGAGATATTTGGCTATTCTAGCACACCAGACAGACCTACTGTAAAGCAGCATCAGCAGAGTAAACACATGGATCCAGGGGGTATCCACACGAATATTACAAGGATTTGCTTGGGGGCAAAAAAATCAATCATATTCTGCATTTATTGAAATGGGGAAGTTATATGGAAGCATTCATAAAGTGAGTGGTGTAGCAACCTGCAGTTCATAGATTCTAAACAGAGTAAAGATCTATGGTGAATATTCACACAACCAGCAGCACATGCGTGGGCTCCATGCAGAAACCGGACTATTTACAGCCCCTAAACAAACACTGATACAGTTAATACTTAGGCCGGAGACACACTGGCTGCGTGGTGTGAGCGTGGCGTGGCTGCATCGCGTTTTCTGTGTCTTTGCACACCAGAAACACCAGTCTGATAGGTGACATAGAGGGACAGTCTACATTTTGATGAGCGGTGTGTTGCTCTTGCCTTTTACGACAACAATTTCAACTGTAATCACATATCTTTCCAAAATCCGAAAAATATGGAAGTGGGCTGTCAGTTTATTTCAATAACATTTACAAATTTTGTGTAGCTTCAACGAGCCTATACTTAGACTGATGGTTGACCGTCACTCAGAAGACACACTATGTTGTTATTGTACCCTATCCTATCTTTATATCCTCCTGAGGCCCAGAACGTAATCATATTGTTAAAGGGATACTCCACTTTTTTTGGAAATAGGCTCATTTTACAACTCCCCCAGAGTTAATATAAACAGTTGAGTCCGTTTTCCAATGCATTCAGCCGATTTTCTGATATTTAGAAGAATATCAGTAACCAGACAGTTTCTGGTCTCATTGACTTCCATGTCAGTCAATGAGACCAGAAACTGTCTGGTTACTGATATTCTTCTAAATATCAGAAAATCGGCTGAATGGATTAGAAAATGGTAAAACTCAACTGTTTAACTTTGGGGGAGTTGTAAAATAAGCCTATTTCCCAAAAAGTAGAGTATAAGAAAGCATAAGAAAAAAAAAAAAGAAGATATTTTATTCATATGTTATGCTATGATCTCTGTAGTGGACACCAGGACTCGATTGTTAAAAAAAATAAAAATGACATGAAATTCTATATAGGCAAAAATAATGGCATTATTTGAAAATCGATCATTATTATTTATTTTTTTATTTGTTTACATTACATTGATATCTGAATTTATGTCAAAGCCTAGACTTTCATACATCAAAATCGTAATTTATTAATATGTATTCGTGTACAAAATTATATATAAACATAGTTTCCTATTGTTTTTTGCCTGCAAAGGCTTCCAACACGCTTGCATGTCGCATGAAATAGGCGTCGGTTCTATTTCTAGCATGCACATGTTTTCCGTGAGGCTTATAAAACGCATGTGATACGCAAGCAGTGTGCGAGCTCTAAGCCGAAATAAAAACGGACACGCTGCAGAGACGCTTACGCCACGCAACCAGTGTGTCTCCGCCGGCCTTGCACCACAAACACTAATATAACAATCAATACAATACCATATTTTTATATTATTGCTATATCTTGCTAATGCACAATATCCAGAGCCATATAAAATTCAGAGAATCAAAAACTCTTTTACAAACAAAACATTGGCATACAATGCAATAAATATAGGAAATAACCTTTAAATCAAGCAATAAATGACTTAAGTCAAATATTCGTTACAAAATCACAAAATAATAAGAAAAAGAATTAAAAGATATCATAAAATAAATGAATTAAAACCATAAATAATTAATTAAAAAGTAATTATAATGAATGGAGACAGCGTGCTGTCTAAATTTATTATTTAAATTGCCACGGCTGGTAGCTACAAATAAAATGTACAATTTTGATTTAAAATGTTTTGTTTAATGTAAAAATGTGAATATTATTAATATAATTTAATATTCAATAGAAATTATTCAAAATACCATTTTATAGGATAAAATGCTGTTTATACAATTTCTGAACATAGGCAACATCGCTCTCACCTCTTTATTTATTTATTTATTTATTTATTTATTTTTTGAATACCCAACTTCAGCTTCAATCACAAGGTCCTCTATAGTGTATAATATAGCGCCACATGCATGAAGTACAATTCAGGAGCAACTAATCAACTTGGAGGATGAGCTGCTAAAACTGAAGACATCATAACAGTGGAAGGAAGTAGATGAGCATCGTGGGTAAGTCCACTTAGAGACTAGATGCATTACAAGTTGATATCACAAATATTGAGCCCGCCAATAGGTTTTAAACCACCCATTCCATGGCAATGCAACGTCCAATTTCACAATGGTTTTCATGGGATGAATTTTAAGCAATTAAGCTTTCGAATGATTACTTATGATGATTTCTAAAATATGTGATCTGGAAAAAAGGCAATAAATAAAAAGCTACAGGGACAATGAACGTTAACATTAAGTTATGATGACGTTAATAAATGTTTTTTTTTTTAAATGATTAGATTGGTATTTGATACTCACAGGAATGACTTGACGTCCATGCCTCTGGTCCGGATCTGTCCCATCACGTGGTCAAAGCTTCCAGGATTGGACCGCGATCGTGCCCCTCCACCCGACCTGTAGCGGGACGCCCCTGCCCCAGCCGGGCTACCACGCACCCCCCGGGGGCCCCCCCGGTGGCCCCCACCCACGGGCCCGGTGTGCAGTTGGCCCAGACTCTGGGAGGTGGCTGGGGGGTCGTTGGGGCCTGGCGGGGGCTGGTGGGTTAGGGGCTGCTGGAGGCTTTGCTGCCTGACCAGGGGCCTGGGGCGGGCTGCTGAGGACGGGATATGCTCCAAAGTGGAGGTGGTGGAAAGAGAGGGGTCACCAAAACTGGCACCAAATAATACGAAAGGGGCCAAGTTGTGGGGCAAGACGAAGACGAAAAACAGGGACAGAAAGGAAGTCACAAGATAAAGGGAAGAGAAGGTAAACACGATTAATGAAGACCAAAGAGACCGAAGAGGACAAGGGAGAGGAAGCCAGACACAAAAAGACGACAGAATGAGGAATAGTGTTGGGACACAGAAGAGAAACAAACAAGACCATTGAGGGAGGGAGGGAGGGAAAGGTAAGAGAACGTGAAGGAACAGACATTTTAAGATGTCCATTGGGGGGACAAAGGCACAATGAGGGAATGAGGGAAGAAAAAGAGAGTAAAGTTAGGCAGCAACATTGACAAAATGTGCAACATAAACTTACACACGCATTCACCCATTTCCCAGTGACCGGATGACGGTGCTGGTACCAGAGCCTCTAGACAATCTTGACTTTTACCACAGAAAACGGTTTTGATTTATTTGTTGCATAATTAAATCACTGACTGTAGCAAATTCAGATGTCATAAAAATATGTTCGTAAAACTCGAGCTGTAAACAAAAACCACAATAAAGTCCAAAAAGGATAGGATCTTGCGCCACACCGGTTCTGACAAGATTCACAGTTCCTCCGGGACGAGCACCAGCACCGTTTCAATGGAAAAGGGGTAATTGCTTTTCTTGTGGCATGGCCTGATGAGAGAATATGTCTTGTAGACCCAACTTCCTCCCACTATAGATCTCTCTACTTCGTTTTTATGTCTTCAATATCTTAATTCAAGTATCACTTCTTCCCATTCAACCCTTCCCAACAGCTTCCTTTGCTCTGCATCATGTCTGATTAGTGTAAAGTCCCATTGAGCTGTTCTGTTTGACGCTAATGCTCTACATGAGGATTGACTGCACCAGGGTTAAGCGCCACACATCCTTATCAAGGTCCCAGTGCTGTGATTCTCGCACGGTACTCAAGGGAGGCGTCCCTATACAGACAGTATTTGTGAAGGGAATGAATAGCAGCAATAACTCAAAGTCTGCCACTACACTTTTTATACACGTTTCAAGGTTAAAAAAGGAACAGCGGTGCATTAATGGACATGAATTCATGTAGATGAGTTAAATGAAAGAGTTTCTACTGTGATTGTCTTTTGAATGTTACAGTGGAAAGTATGATTGTTAGAGTTGGTGAGTAGGTATTTCTTACTACAAGACATGACATGATTTAGCCAAATAGGACTTATTCCTGCATCAACATCCTTTGTCCTTCTGTCTCAAACTAAAAAAAAAAGTTACATTTTGGCGATTTAATGGCTGATTTGTACAATCACATTTGTATGTTTTCATACAATCTGCTTGTACCCCAGTTACGATTACATTTAGTGGGGGGGGGGTTAGCTTCATGAACACCTTTTTCAAAAAATCATATGTTTTCATAGAAAATGCAACCTGATGGGAAGACATGTTTTCCCATGAGATCTAAGTAATGCCCTTTTACATGACTCGTGTCAAACTTGCCCAATGCATTATGGAGTGAAGCCACACTGTGTGCAATTGACATTCAAATTTCAAACAATTTCTGCAATGACTTCTGAAGTGTAGCTAATCATTACCAGGCAATTTGCATGATAGATCATGGGCGGTGCCAACGCAAATAATCCAAAACAGATACGTCGAGGGCTAAAAAACAAGCATTTTTGTGGTTTAGGTATATGATTTTTCTTTTACTGCCTTATAGCACTGCTTTTTGTATTTACAATAAAATGTTCAACGCATTCTCATCCCAAGGCGTCATAAACAACGCTTTTGCCAAAGCGTAGACAGCCAACGCACATGGAACCATTTAGCGTCAATATAACACAGACAGAGTATGGGTAGGTTTAGGTCTGGGTTAGAGTTTTTATTCATTTTATTATTTATTTATTTAGATGGGACAATGCATATCAATGAACGTACAAACATAGTCGAACGTAAATATGCCGGATTTAGCACAATGCTAATTTCCATCCGTTAGACCACTAGGAGGTGCCTTCTGCCCCATATATATATATACATATGCATCTCGTATTGACGCTAAAGGGTGCGTATGTTCGTTGGATGTCTATACGCTTTGGCAAAAGCGTCATATATGACACCTTGTGATGAGAACGGGCTGAAATGTTGGATTTCCATTACAGTTTTTTTCTTGTTTCTTTTACAAAATAACTGTAATCACAGTTCCATAAATTCAAAAACACATCTTTGTTGCAAAACAAGGGATAATGATCCAAAATATTACTGGCTGATTTGTAGTGCTCAGCAAGACAAAACTTTGTTATATTTAGCTAATGTTAGCCAACAAGATACAATTATCTTATTGACAAATTGGTAGAATTAGCTGATATATTCTGAGACTGATAAAATAGCACAATATCTGAATGTCAAAGCAGACAGCGCACTCTCAACGTCTTTTGACCATACGTCAACATCCGCCGTTTTAGGGTACCCTTTAACGTCAGTTAGATGACGTTATCGGATCCTAACCCTACCCCAGACCAAAACCTACCCCTAAACCTACCCCGTCACCTAACCGACGTTAAAGGTAAAGCGTCAGTTGTATGACGGCCCAGGATCGTCATGTAACTGACGTTAAAGGGTACTCTAAAACGGCAGATGTTGACGTATGGTCAAAAGACGTCAGTTATATGACGTCTTGGGATGAGACTGTGTTAAAGCAGAGCATGGCTCTTGTTTTGAGAGTTGAACCGAAGGCCTGAAGTGAGTCATGTGAAAGTGTCTTTAGATTAACCCTCACGCTAAAATGATTGATAGCAATTTTGTTCTGACAAGGAAGTTGGTACACGAACATATCCTATTTTAAATCGCATTATGCCACAGGTATGTTGCGACGGCACTTGTTTCACATATGACTTTTATCACACGGCTCCATACATACATACATACATATACATATATATATATATGTGCATGTATGAAATGCAGTACATCACCCTGCACTTACACCCATTATGCAGCTTGAGCTGTCATTAAGGAACTTACGTTCCTCATCTACTTGTTTTCTCATCTCTGCTTCAGTTCTGTGTTATAAATAGTTTTTGAAAGCAAGGAAGAAAAAGAAGTGTGTGGGGGCTGCGGACTCAGTCGAAGCAATGATCAAAGTGAGAAAACACAGAGGCAAAACTAAGCGTCAAATAATGGGGAAAAAAAACAGCTCCCCAAAAGAAACATCATTGTTTTAGAGGGAAAAAAGAAAGGTTTTTCTGGTTGGATTCATCTAGCCTCTGGCCCTTGCCAGACATAAATACTGTGTGAAATTCGACATTAAAGTACAAACGCTTTGTTAAAGTCCAGGCTCGAAAAACCAATTTTAGGCAATTTTAGGCCAGTACTTCCTCAGATGAACTTAAAATATTCAGTGGCTAACAGTGCATATCAGTGCACATCACATTAATAAAGCTTCTGTCACATCCTCTGTAACACAGGAGCAAATTCATATTAGAAAGATATAAAGGATCTTATCCTCTCATGGGTAAAACTATGTTTAATAAATCAATGCATTTGCTAGTCTCACCTTAAAGGAGTCAATAAAATAAAATAAAAAACCTGTCATTTTCTACTCCACTTTTATTATAAGGAAAACAGTGGCCAAATACATATATAAATAAAAATAAAAGGCCAAACAAGATTATCAAACAATTTTCATTTTTGTGTGAACTATTCCTTTAACTGTTCTCTTTCATATTTGGTTAGTGAGGAAATACCTATCTCAGTTCTCAGGACAACTCTCAAAGAAATCCTGACAAACACTACCATTCTCATCTACACTCATCCAAACAAGGGTTGAGGGAGAAGTGGTGATTCCTCCAGTAAATCCTTAGGCTTTAGCAGAAACCTGCAGTCGCTTGTTATTACAAAGCTTCAAGACATCAGCGAAACCAAATGTTTTAAATTTCAGGTGTCTCCATTTTTAAAATGCTGATGATCACACAATAAAGCCCACTTGACATCACATTAGGCCCGGGCGAGATGATGATTATGCGGCAGATCAAATTAAGCAACATTGTGAATATAATATAGTTTTAATGTGCTTTTAATTACTATATTTGCTAAAGGAACATTTAGAAATGTAAAACTGATACTTTCTACATGCACACTAATGCAAAATAAATTAATAATAATAATTTTTGTGAAGCATCTGACATCATAACATAATTTTCTATATGACGGGGCTATCATATCTGTTAGTCCTAAACTTATCGGATGAAACCCCCAGCCAGCTTGCATTGAAAACAATCAAATATGGTTCATTTCTTGAAAGGTAATTGACAGCTTGATGTCATAAATGTCATCGCTTTGTTCACACGGCTCAAAAACAGCAAGCCTAACAGAAGCATAATGCAAATGACCGGAAAGCAGGTCTATAGGAACATCTCTCCTACACTGTTGCTAATATGAACCATTAAATATATATAATGATATGTAATCATCATTACCCCAAATTCATCCTATTATTTTAAAACTTCACTGTGTCAAACAATAAACTATTTATAATGGTGTGATGTGAAACTGAAAAAAGTGATATTTGTATATATAAATAATTATTACTATTATTACTTTATATTATTGTATACCACTGATGTTTTCCAAAAGTCAACGCATTTCCAATTAACAGGGTTTATTCCATATATATACTTGAACAATGAATTTACCTGCTATTCTAAACTAAATTTAATGTTTTTTTTGTTTGTTTTTTTAACTGCATACATTTACACGCAAAAGGGGAAATATAAATAGAAAATAGAAAGGGGTTAAAGGAATAGTGATTCTGTCATTGTTCACTCGCACACATATCCTTCACACACACACTACCATTAAAAAAGTTAGGGGTCTGTAAAAAATGTATTTTTTAAAGAAAATCTTTTTTTTATCAGAAAAATGACAAAATATTATTATTTAACATGCATGTTAATCCTTTGACCTTTTTGTTAATAAAGTAATCCTGAAGTAATCAGAAAAAAAACACGTTTTCAACATTGATAATAATAATCTTGAGCAGCAAATCAGCACATTAGAATGATTTCTGAAGGATCATGTGACTCTGAAGAGTGAAGACTGAATGTAATGATGCTGAAAATTCAGCTTTGCTCCACTGGAATAAATAACATTTTAATAATGTGTTCAAATAGAAAACAGTTATTTTAAATAGCAAAAATATTTCACAATATTAAGTTTTTTTTTTTTTTAAATAGAGTCTTGCTGAGCTTTAAAAACCATATTACTGACCTCAAACTTTTGAAAGGTAGTGCACAACACATGTGCGAGGCAATGACATTTCATTTAACCTGGTGAAATATGTCTACTAATCTTAAAGCCATCGGCTTAAGGACTTTCATGGTGCTTTATTGTCCTTGACAGTCGTGCTCACAGTCGTATGGAAAACAGCATGGTAAAATCTCCTCAAAATGACAAAAGAATAGTTCACACCCCCAAAACATCAACATTTAACTAAACCATTAATGCTCGTTCTTGCCCCAAACTTCTCAAAAGGAAAAGAAGTCGTCCTCTGACACTCACTTGTTGGGTCTCAAGCTGCCGGAGTGCAGGTGGCTCTGGACAGTTTGCCACCTCCCGGACTTGCTGGTCCCTGCGCCTATGCAGCTGTCACTGCGACTGGGACCCCCCACTGCCCCCCCACCCGCCTCCCCCTTCTCCAGCGATCCACTGAAAGAGGGAAAAGAGAGATAAGGAGATGCAAGAACAGAAACGACAGGAGAGTTTGAAGGAGAACCAAAGATTCGGACAGAAGGAGGAAGAGGAACAGATTGTTCAGAACCCTTCAGGCAGAGCAATAAGCAACAGTGGTAGAAAACAATCCCGCTCGAGTCCCAGCTGTAAAGCAAGCAGGTGTAACGGGAACCTAGACGGTAGGGGTCTGAAGGGGGCAGACGCTCGTGTGCTGAGAGAGCAAGCAGATGGGGCTGATTTACAGGGAACATGGGCGGACAGTTAAAGGAAGGCAGGTATTGTTGGAATTGCATCCTATGTTTGTCATGTCACACACTTAAGAAAAGTAATGTTTCTGTGTAGACTGTTCCTGCAAGAAGCCAAATAAGTTGCAGGGCAGGAATTTAATTAAAAGATCTATTTTTTCTTGGTCTGAGAGAAAATTTAAAAAATGTTGTCCATCTCAGTGTTCTGTATAGAGCTGCACGATTTGGCCCTGAATGATTATTACAGCTCAAGGCAACAATTTAATGTATTCTAGAACAGAATATAGTTTAGCTGTTTAGACAGCCTGGTCTCATTGTTAATACGTAGCTATTTTACGTTTTTGCAAAGATAGAAAACGTACTTTTTAGTACGTTTGGATAGATGCTGAAACGTATAATACAGACGTATCTGCAACATTTAAACGTAACATTATTACGTTTTTACAGCTACAAAACGTAAACTATTTACGTATATTCTATATCATAAAGATATCTGGATAATTTCCCTTTTTACTATTTTATAGATAAATGTAAGATCCCGTAACCCTAATCCCAAACCTAAACATACCCATTTTATACTTAATATAAAAAAGGATAAAACGTAACAGACAGGTGTTGGGAAAGGGCAGTTTTATTAACAATATAGCATTAAAATATATTTTGAGCCACCTACTCCTACCCCTAAACCTACCATAACAATTCCTTAAAACTACGTAAAAAACTACAATTATGAAGAAAAACATAACTAACAGACAAGTATAATCACAATAATTTATTTATTGCGAAAATGTCAAAACCGATACCAAAAGCCGTTCACATGATGAAGCGTTGCAGTCGCAGTCTTCTCTCTGGCAGTATTGTAATAGTTTTGTATGAAGTACAGAGCAGAAATTAAATTACTAATGAAAATGTTAATCCGGCTTCGGTTGGTTCGCGCTTCTCCATTTCAAAATTCAAATGAACTAAACTAACCAACCGTCTACAGTCCTTCATGTCGCAAACTGTGACGAAGCAGGGAAGAGCCAATGAACGTTTGATATCGCTGCCGTAAAAGATGACGTATGGGCGCTGCTGAGAATGGAGATCACGACTGGATAAGAGGCTGAAATCGCTGAATTAGGAGTTGTTTCTTGCAAACAACTATGGATTCTAAAGATTTGGATTACATCAAACTATTAAAATTGATGTCTTTTGTGAATTTTTGTTGTGTTTTATAGGAGAAAACGCTTTATGTGTCTCAAGGTATATAAACTATTACAAAATGGTTGAACGAGTAACGTTAAAGAATGTATTTTTTAAGGTTTTATAGTGTATTGTTTAACACCATGCAGGCGAAACGAGCAAAATGTTAATATTTATGAGTATTATATCAATAATGCGACTGAAAACTTCATTAATAAGACAGTGGGATGCAATAGAGTCAAAACATAATGCTACGACATTAATATGCATAAATTGTGATACGTACAATGTGTACGTCGGTGGATTTGTTCATACGTAAATAAATTACGTTTTTGTGCTGTCAATACGTAAATATTTTACGTTTTAGTACTGTAAATACGTCAGTATTATACGTTTCTGCGCATATAAAACGTAATTATACGTATGATAGAACGACACTTTACGTACACATACATACGTATTCACATGAGATCACGTTGGTTTAGAAACACTAAAAATGGCCCGTAAAAGGACAGCTTTAAGACCAAGCCTCTGCCAAATGACTGCAAGCGGTAATCTTACTACAGTAAACGACATCCAGCCTTTTAGTGAATCAGGTCTACTATGACTCTCATGATTTTACGACTCTGGAGGTAAATAATTTGCATGAGCATGGATGAAAAGTTGTCCTTGTGTTGTGTACTACTCCAATTTTACTGTATGAAATTTGTATTATTTATTAGTTTATTCATTTAAATATTCAAGTGCCCAATTCAAATGCTTAAACCAGCCTAAGTTTGCTGGTCTTATCTGGTTTAAGTACACCAAACATTGTCTTTTATATTTATATAATCACTTTTTTTTTATTATCAAAATATTTTTCATATATATAATTTTCGTTAAAGTTAAAGACTAAAGTGAAATAGGATTGATACAAATGACAAATCACATAACAAAATGACTAAAACTTAACCCCCTGGGGACCAAAAACGCATCCCCGCGTTCAACACATTCTCTGCCACGTTTTGATCGTTTTTTATTTTTTTCACATAGTTGCAACATAGACTTAAAATACTCCGTCATTAATGGTCATATAAATAAAATCAATACATGATTATAAACTATAGAGGGTCTTCTTTTTTGTGTACACTCTTATTAACATCAAAACCTTGTGTTTTTGTAAAATAAATAAAATAAACAGGGTGCGTTTTGAGCTCACTCTGTCTCAGCAAAAATCTTTCTGAAACGCGTCTGAAAAATGAACTGTAACTCATTAAATACTTGTCACAGAGACAAAAAAGATTTCTCTTTATGAAGCTGAAATTCTCTTCTTTTAAACTTCTATTAAATTAAGTAATTTATATAAAAAAGCAATTATTTTCAGTTGATGTAATCTGTATGAAAATAGAGAGATGTCAGTCTTTTTCCTTTCACCTAATTATAGCGTATGACCTGTTAATGTGACCCCGCCCACTGAGAGCGCGCGCTATTCAAATGCAAGTCATGAAAACGCCCACATCAGCAGTTTATCACAAATCTAACCTTTACCTTGTGTTGCTGCGCTGTGAGGAATAATACTGTCATTATAATCCTGCAAAAGTTACCTCAGTGTTTTGACCAGTGTTTTGTGGCCTTATTTCAGAAACTTTCATTTTTCGGATTTTCAATAACCACGCATAAACAATATTCTCTCAAAAATACAAACATGTACATACATGTTGCTCACATATTATGGTAGCCCTGTTTGTGCTTAATATAGTGTAAATTCACCTGTGCCATTAATATGTTTATAAGCAACTGAAAAAAAGCACAAATGTCAGGGCATATCAGAACATCTCATGGACCCCAAATACACCTTGGACCCCAGAGGGTTAATCTGATTCAAAATATGAATCAATAGTGGATAAATAACACTAAAATAATGCCTAGTCTGACCATCTGAAAAGCAAAACCCTACCTTGCAACAGACCTGACTAAACAGCTTAGGCTGGTTTAAGATGTTTTTCCAGCATAAAGCTGTGTGAATTCTAAGAAAGCTGAGTTGGATTATATTCACTCCAATTTTGGGTCAACTGAACGAGAGAAGAAGAAAAGTTCAGCATGAAGAGATCATTCTATCATCAGCAGAGCGTGTTTAATACACAGCTTAATTTACAGACAAAAGCCTTTGTGCGCTGGTTTGCAGTTTTTGCACGTGCCGTTTAACATGAGAGCTGCTGTTTCAATGACATTTTATACCCTTTTCTTTTGCCTTTCAAATCACAGTACTTGTCAAAGCAATTGCAATATGATTATGTTTTTAACAAATCGTGCAGCCCCACTTCTACATGATATTCAAATCACTTGCACACTATTATTCAAAGGTTTGGAGTCGATAAGATGCATTTTATTGATCAAAAGTGACAGTAAAAACATCTAAAAATAGGTTTCTATTTCAAATAAATGTGGTTCTTTTGAGCTGTCAATTCACCAAGGAATCCTGGAAAAATGTCTCACAGTTACTACAAAAATATGAAGCAGAACCACTGTTTTCAACATTGATAATAACAAGAGATGCTTCTTGAGCATCAAATCATCATATTAGAATGATTTCTGAAGGATCATGTGACACTGAAGACTGGATAAATTCAGCTTTGTGTCAAAGTAATAATAAATAAAAAAAATTGACAATTATTGTTTTAAATTGAAACTCTATTGCACTTTCTTTTTCCAAATAAACGCAGCCTTGGTGAGCAGAAGAGACTTCTTTCAACAAAAAAAAAATATATATATATTTTAAAAAAATCTTACCTACCCCAAACTTTTGAAAGGTAGTGTATGTATAATTGGGAAAATACTACATCTGATCACATACATATTTTGACATAATTCATTTCTATCAGTACACACACGGTATAAGTGGTACCGGACACAAGATCATATTGGGTTTCCCATCATGTATTAATCATTCTTTGCTTTCCCCTCAAGCGAGACAGGTACTGACGTTCACTAAATCTGGACACAACGGTAACAGCAGACCTGATTACACAGTGACGGTAGAGACAGACGAAAAGGTTAACACTTCAAACACAGGTGTCGTGACTTTTATAGACGGCAACAGATCGATGACAGCCACTTAAGACACAGATGACCCATAACGCAACATTTGTGCATCAACCTCAGGGGGTGGACAGGAACAGAGGGGGCTTGACATTTGTTAAAGCAGATGGCAAGGTTGCTGACTGCTGTAATAGTGTATCTTAATTCTGTCACTTTTTATTCTATAGTCTTTAAAGATCTCCTTAGTAAAGGTGTTCACACTGGAAGCGATTTGCCGTGACTAGTCATTATCAAAGAGATAAAAATACAAATAATTCACAGAAATGATGGATAAGTTTCACTGGTGCTCTCTGTAAGGGGATCTGCAAACTGCCATGTTTTCATTCATTAAATTATAGATGAAATATATATTTTTTTATAAATACTAGATAAAAAAAAAACGTTAAAAACTTGTGTACACTCTAAAAATGCTGGGTTGTTTTAACCCAACTTTGGATTAAATATGGACAAACCCAAATGTTGGGTTAAAAATGTAATTAAAAAATGTAACCCAATGGCTGGGTTTGTCCATATTTGACCCAAAGTTGGGTTAAAACAACCCAGTAGGTTTACATACAAAAATTACTAAAACTAAAATTAAAAATTAAACAAATTATATTAAATAATACTGACTATTTAGAGTTGTAAATAACTAGCTATTCTACAGGACATCAACTGGACGACCTTTCTCGATTTATCGGCTGTCAGTGTGAATGTACCTTTAAGTACAAAAGACCATAATAATAGACACGGAAATGCTACTAATTTATTTTATATATGGTTACAATTAAGTCAATATAAGGTGACTATAATAAGATGTCCTGTAAAATTAATCTCACAAACAGAAAAGAATAATGAAAAAATTTTTAAAAATTAAAGCCAGACGCAGATCTCTTATGTTGTAAACTCCTGAAACTGTGTCACACAGGTACATACTCAGACTCAAACTACAAAAGGGAAGTTACAGGTGACTGGAGAGACGAAACACAACAACTACCATAAAGGCACAAAAAACACAGCAACATGGCAGAAGAGCTAACGGTCAACCCTCAACTTCAATCAGGATTTAAGATGGAAAGAAACCAATACACTTCCAATCAAGATGTTCCTGAATGAATCTAAACCTTTCAGGTCAAAGGTCAGAGGTTTCGAGGGTTGTCCGTCTCCATGGAGACCATCCATGGGCTGGAGGTGAAATGTTAGCAGTTAGAAACATTAGTGCTGCTGGCAGGGCTGTAGAGAACAGGGGGTTGAGAAGTGCTAAAGTGGTCCTTTAATGGAACAGTTCACCTAAAAAATACTATTTTGTTCTCATTATCTCTTATTTTGTTTAAAGACTCTATTTATTGTACAGTAGTGCATACAGTATGACTCATGTTCTACATTTAAAGCCACATGATAGCATTTGTGTGAGGAACGGAACAAAATTTAAGTCGTTAATCTTCCCATCGCAGCTCTCAAACTTCATTTGCAGATGTGTTTTTCAAACTTGCCTCATCAAGATCCGTCACGGGATCCGAAATGAAATTTGCGAATGAAATTTGAGAGCGGTGGAAGAGCGGAAATCCCAGATGTAATCTGTGCCTGCAGAAAAATTCACAGATCGGGAATGTATATCTATCACAAAGTTCGCCAAAATCAGTGAAGAAAAACAAAAACAAAAAACGGCTGCAGCGTTTTTATCCACATATTCATGAGTTGTGATATATTAGTCATATTGACTGCTTTTATGGTACCACCATCCTGATCTCACGAGGTGGCGATTTTGTATGATTCGTACGAAAATGTGTGATACTCAGAAAAAAATTAAGCACTTTCATTATGGAAAAGAGGAGCCAGGAAAAAAACTAAAAAATTATTCAAAAATAATAATTCAGTTGATGAGTGAATAGACTGATCATATATTGAACACTCATTGATCTGTGTGTTTGTGGGAGTGTCTGTAATTATCACCATGTGGATGAGAAGTGGGCAGGGACCTGCAGTCTGTATCCGTCTCCTATCAATTAGATTCTGATTTATCCTGGGAATGAATCCAGAAAGACTACTTTTCCTTGAAGATAATGACTTCAATTAAGCAATTAATTTACAAGGAAACGGCAGACTGAAGCGAACCCCACTACCCTCTGTGGAACTCAACCCACGTTTCGCTGAGAGTGATGGGTTGACCTAAAGATTGGACGTTTCATCTCATTTCAGTCTGGATTGTGGTGTACGCTGAATGATAAAACGCCATGGAAAATGACAAAGACTGCCCTAGACATAGCTCTTACAGATGGGGTCAGTGGGAAATATGGCTTGTGTTTTGGTGTGCTTTGTGGGTCATGCAAATTGACCTTAAAGTAGTAAAAAGTCATCAACTTTTTCTATCTAAAAAAACGCCTTTTATAGTACTAGACATTCACAATTGATTGCACTGTTCATTACTGTTATCCAAAACTGTTATAATTTCTATAGTATATATATATATATATATATATATATATATATATATACACAAAACAATACTATTTATGATATATTATATATACCTATACATAGACACATATATATATTAGGGCTGTCAAACGATTAATCACATCCAAAATAAAAGTTTGTGTTTACATAATATATGTGGGTGCACTGTGTATAATTATTTTGTATTTTTATATAAATACACACACATGCTTGTATATATTTAAGAATAAAAGAATTTTAAAGTATCATAAAAATAATGCAAAAAGAATAGTATTGAATATTGAATAGTCATACTTTTATTTTTTTCATTTTCTTTATGCAAACATAATTTTCCTATTTTTTTCCTCTTGATTTGGGGTGAAATATGACCACGGACATTGTTTTGTGACGTTTGATAGGTTTCATGAGACACAGATAAGTCCCAGTAAGCTTTAGAGGATCGTTGAAATGGACGACCAGATTAGAGAGGATAGAATGGACTTCCCCTTTCAGTACAGCCCTGCACAGAGAGAAGGGGTCCCTTACCAGCCGTTACCAAGACTCACTTGGGCGTGAGGCGAGGGTCTCCATATGGGGTGTAGGGGGACATGTTGAGGATGAACTCCTTGGGTGGATAGGAGCTCCAGCGCTGCTGCACAGAACTGCTGTCGTTGTTATTCCAAAAGTCCCTGTCTAAATCACTGCAGCCAAAGAGAAAGACAGGAGAAAGAGCCACAATGAGTCAAACTGAGGGGAAATCAGACATCAGATAGACAGACAGCCCAGAGAGAGAGAGAAAACACTGGTGTAAAACTATAGTTACCGGCAGAGTGGAACGGTTCAGTCACAGAGAGACTTTTTAGGAAAGGTTTCTCTTGTCTAACATCGTTCCAGAGCTCATGTGTTTTTAAGTGGCACAAAGTCTTGAAAAAGTAAAAGAATTCTGCACTGAAGAGATGATGTAAAAATAGCTCTGAGGGTGAGATTAAAGGGGTTTTGAGATGGATATCATGCACATAGTCAAAATATTTATTCTGTGCTGTCATTACATTCGCTTTGACTCACAGAGGATAGTCTTTTATAACCTACAAACTTCAAATCTCTATAAGAACAACAGAAGCAAGACAGAAAAAGTCATATCAGAGGTAAGGCATCTAATTAGAGGTGGGCGGCATGATCGAAATCATATAGTAATGGCATATATCTGCATATAGTTGTTTTATGTAAACTGTAAAAAATAAAACCGCAATTTTTACGGTAAAAAAAACTGGCAGCCGTGGTTGCCAGAACTTTACTGTTAAAAATGTGGTAGGAACGTTAATGGTTTTACAGACTTTACAGTAATAAACCGTTTTTCATTATCTGATAAAATGTTGATTTACTAACCATTTGTACAGCAGTGATGAGAGTCACATGATCAATCAAAGCTCATAGTCTTCAATAAGAGCGTTAATACTTATATAAAAACGCTGCAGAGTGTCAATCACACAAACGTTAAACACCATCAACATCATGGTAACCCACATGAAATAAAAAAAATGCAATAATAAACATTCATTTAACAACACTGAATGTAACATAAAAAGCTAATGTACATAACTGATTAGAAAAAAAAACAAGAAAACTATGAGGAACTTTCTGATCACGATTATTTTTTACAGTAAAACCTAATTCAGTAAATACTTTACAAATGAAAGGTACTTTATCTCATTTCAGATTTTTACTTGCATGGCTGCAAACCACAAGATAAGATCATTCAAATAAAATGTATAATGCATAAAAAGCATACTTTTTCAAATTCCAGATCCAGGATAATATCCACATTAGAAAGAAGTTGAAGTTGAAGTATTTATAATAAAGTCTATTTCCAAACGGACTGGCCTGTGACAGTGCCAGACGGTGAGCTGTGAGGTTTAGTGGTTTCATCTGTTCTGACAATGTCAGATCGGTCTGTATTAAATCTCTAAGCCTTATAAATGAATCTACCATTTAATATTTAATTTGGGTTGATGCAGGCATCTAATAGAACTCTGAACATTTTGGAGGTGGTCCAACGTTTTCACTTTCCATAGACTGATTTTTATACTGTACAAACTGTACATTTTATTCCCAAACCCCACCCCTAAACACAAATCTCACAGAAACTCATTTTACATGTTCAAAAAACAACATTTAGTATGATTTATAAGCTGTTTTTCAAAGATATCTAGTAATACCATTCTTATGGGGAGATTTTGTCCCCACAATGTAGGGTTTACAGTACCACACAAGGTTGTTTTCATGTTTCATTGGGACTTTCCTTAGACATAATGATTTTTAGACTGTACAAACTGTACATTCTTTCTGCATTTTTACATTTAAAAAACAAAACAAAAACAAACATCACTTGATTTATAAGCCGTTTTCCTCACAGGGACCAAAATGTCCCCATAAAGGAACACGGATTCTGTTTATTGCAATCTTTGTGGGGACATTTTGTCCCCATAAAGTAGGGTTTACCAGGACACACACACACACAGTGGGGTGAGACACATGCAAACATGCATATAAGAAACACATGAATTTCAAGCACCAAATTATTTAGTAATTTTCCCATACTATATTATTTAAATCTTATTTTTCAGATCTTTTAATGCTGCAAATTAGCAAATCAATATTGCATCATATTTCTGGCAACCAATTTCCTTTTTACTGATTGGCTCATTTCTGGTGCTGCAAGCTGCTCTAATGGTCCTACTTGGACAAATAAACAATGAAATATTTTAGTGCCACTTTAAAAGATCATTTTGAGAACAAAGTTTTATATAATGCATTTAATGCAAAATGCCTGAACGGTCTTAAGTTAAAAGTTAAATAATTAAAAGTTATTACATTTAGTTATTAAATTATTAACATTTAAATAATTTAATTATGAAAAACATTCCATTGTTTTTCATACTTTACATTATGATTAGATACGTTTTCTCAAAATCATACTTGTTTGTGTTATTTTAACATTGCACTGAGACTTACATACACTTAAGTATTGTATGATGCATGCAAATGTTCCACACTGTTGTTGTGGGTTCCAATCCCGCTTTAAGGAAATAAATCTCATTCGCAGTCTGAAGAACACAAGGAAATGTGCGGCGGATTGTCTCTCCGTGCCCTTGTGCGGTCACAGGTGATTAGCAGTCTGGCCTCTTGCACTGATATAAAAACAGTATCCATCTGCTGTGAGATGCATTGGTGTCTAATTAGAGCATTGCCTGATTAATATTCAGGCTGCAGTTGTTACCAGAGCAAGTGCTCCAAGTGGACCAGCTTCATACTGCTGACCTGATAAACATCATCAAGTGTGTGAAAGCCATCATTTTGGCTTTAGAAGTAGAAGTAATGGTATTGATACCTCAATATGAACAGACGGTACAGTAGGTATAGACCACTGAATAGGCAGGATGGATTTGCTTATCAGGTAATGGGAATTTACTAAACCAATGTAGTGTCTGGACCAATCAGACACACAATTATTGATTATATTTAATTTTGTTGAACTATGTGTTGATTCTACAATCCTATTCCAGTATTTGCATGGGCCTTGGCGATATATATCGAGAGACCAATAGAAAAACACAAAAGGATTTCTTTCCATTAATGCAAATGCAAACCTTCTATGAATGAACATGTACATCACCAGGACATTGTGTGCATGGTTATTACTGTCTTTTTATGGTGTTTTTGTATTGTATGCATGCTTTATGATAGAACAATGCACTAGTTAATGTAACCTCACCTACACTATACCTATGCAACATATTAATATTACAGGAATCTTTAAAGGTTTCTCTATCAACACCCTTAAATTATAACTATTGTAACTTCATTGACAATGACTGAGTCAGGCTAACATTGCAAGATCATCATCATTTCTTCATTCAATGTGGAAAATATCGATTGCAACTTCAACATCGACTTACTGAACCATCAAGACTTTCTCCTGAGACTGCATTCGGATGCTGGTTCAACGGCAAAGGCATTGCAAGTATCATATACTGTACATGCCAGTATTGTATACCCCTGTTAAAGGAGTAGTTCACTTTAAAAAAAAACTTTTTCTGCTAATTTACTCACCCCCACGTCATCCAGGATATCCATGTCATTCTTTCTTCGGTCGAAAAGAAATTAAGGTTTTTGATGAAAACATCCCAGGATTTTTCTTCATATAATGGACTCCAATGGGAACCAAACGGTTCAAGGTCCAAAAGACAGTTTCAGTGCAAACTGCAAACTGTTCAAAGGGCTTTAAACAATTCCAGACGACGAATAAGGGTCTTATCAAGTGAAACGATCGCTCATTTAAAAAATAAATAACAAAGTTTAAGTTTTATAAGCTCAAATGCTTGCCTTGAAATGCTCTGTTCTGTGTGATGCACATTTGTGACTCTCTTGTTCAAACTCGTTCATCAAAATGAACAAATCTTTTTCGTGTCATTTGGTTGATTCAACGAACAAAATTAACGAATTGACTCGGAAAAAGATTTGTTCATTTAGATGAACGAGTTTGAACAGGAGAGTCACGAACGCGCATCACAGAACAGTGCAAGGTGAACATTTGAGCTAATAAAACTTAAACTTTGTTTTTTGTTTTTTACATGAGTGATCGTTTAGCTTGATAAGACCCTTATTCATCGTCTGGAATCGTTTAAAGCCCTTTGAGCAGTTTGCAGTTTGCACTGAAAGTATCTTTTGGACCTTGAACTGTTTGGTTCCCAGTAAAGTGCATTATATGGAGAAAATCCTGGAATGTTTTCAGCAAAAACCTTAATTTCTTTTCGACTGAAGAAAGAAAGATGTGGACATCTTGGATGACATGGGGGTGAGTATATTATCAGCAAAAGTTTTTTTTTTTTTTTTAAAGTGAACTACTCCTTTAACAAGGTGCTTTAAAATAACAAACTGATGGTTCTTTTCCATAGCTTCATTCCCGTTTCTGTTTCCAGTTTCATTCACTTTCCATTTTACCCACGGCCACGTATGCGTGATTGTGTGCATGTTTGTTTAGATTAGTTATGTGTTTGTGACTTTTGGGCACATTCAAACCAACGTCCCTTTAATGATGCGATCAAAGATACATCTTAAGAAAGAGTCATTTTTCTGTGGCCACGAAAAATATAATTTCTGAGAGTTGATAGAGGATCAATCAGTTCCCTGGATGAACAGATCAATTGATTGTCATATCAATTCAACTACATCAACTTAATTCTATTAACTGATCCAAATATTTATAATTAATTAAAACAAGTTATAATAAATTATTCATATTTTCATTTTGAGCTCATTTTCTACACCAATGACTAAACTAATAAATGATATTAATTAGATAATTATCACCAGCTGAAATACATGAACCACTTCGTATCAATTAATACACTGTATTCTTCCTGTTGTTTTACAAAATATGTGAAACAATTTAAAATACTCAACAATACAGTAAATGTTTCTAATCTCACAACATTACATGATTAATTCAGAGATTTAAAAAAATCAGGAATAAAAACAGCTATTTTGCATAGTTTTTTGCATAGAGTCTAGAAAATAAAAAAAAGATACTCATTCGATGCTTTGAAAATGTAAGGTCAAGTCAAATTCATTGCCATATTGTGATCGCTATGCACAGTATGTGAAATGTACGTATGCAGATTAACATGGCATATGGTAAATATGAAATTATTATGGCAGAATGGCATTAGCCAGAATAAGATATTCAGTGTCTGATGTTTGCAAACAGCAAACCAGTGTTATCCAAAGTATTGACCATGACAAATACCACAGCTGGTGTGAGAATTGAATGCAACACTTCTGACACTACAAATAGAAATGAACACTCCTGAATAAATTAAAAATGAGCATGGGTTATGAAATATGTCTAAAAATGTAAACTATGTACATCATTTACACGGTTAGCAATGTCCCATTAGTGTCACACATTTGGTATCCGCTATTATTGACCAAAGTAATATTACAGTAACCAAAGACTCTTTATGTTCTGTAATGAAGAGTTGCCATGTCCACTTACCATAAGCATTTTCAGGCTTGATGTTTGAAGTTGGCTCATAAAGCAATCAAGTATATAGTTTTTAAAGAGGACAGATGCGAGTCACAATATTGGACTTATTTTCAATATGAACCATTTGGATTTATCTTGGTTTATTATGGGCTTGTTTTTTTGGTTCTATCAAGACTTGGCAACATGAATGAGTCATGGCTCATCCAGGTGATTTTCTAGCACTACACGCATACAGAAGAGACATCCCTGATGTAGGGCTGGGCGATATATCGAATATGTACGATGTATCGTTATATTTTTTGAAACGATATGGAATGAGGCAATACCGTTTATATCGATACAGTAGTTTGATATGAGCACATCTGAAAAATAGCGGAGGTTGCAGTGTGAGCTGCTGCAGTGAAAGTAGCTAGGCTACGTAGTACAATTTGTCCTAAACATGACACAAGCTTATATTAATTGCGTCAAAATCACTTTGATATAGTTAACAAGTTTAAGGCAGCTTGCCGCCCTGTCAAATGCTCTGACAGACACTGTTGCTGACTGACAGATATAGCTACTTGCGCTGTTTAATGCGTTTGAGATGTGGTGCTTTCCTCAGTGCTCAACTTACATTTCACATATTCTCCATCTGTAAATGTTAGAAAGTAAATGCAAATATGTCCATTTCACAACAAATATGTCCATGTCAGAAGAGGACGAGCTTCTGCAAGTGAATCTCCGCTAAAATTCATGCTTCCTTGAACGAGCGCCGGCGCGCGCATGCGCGTGAATAGTACTACGTAGTACGCAATAATTCTGACTAAAATAAACATATTGCTAAAATATTTGTTGTTGGAGAAAATAAATGTGCCATATGTGGAATTTTAAACCTACAAGTATATATTTTTAATGAAAGTGAAAGTGATTATAATGGGGTAATCAAATGCAGGCTAATATAATTAGTTTGTGCTTTTGTTTTTGTTTTTATTTTCATTTTTAGTTTAGCTTTTAGTCAATATAAAAACAAAAGCTTTTTGCACATAATATATTGCATAGCCTATATTATATTTGTTTCCATATCCTTCAATATCAACATTGTTTGTAGGATATCATTGGGCCGAATGTGAATATACTGTATATATATATATTATATATATATATATATATATATATATATATATATATATATATATATATATTTATTTATTTATTTATTTATTTATTTTTAATATAAAGATTTTCTTTATCTAAATAGAAAACGTAGAAAGTACCGAGATATATATCGTATATCGCCATTTGACCAAAAAATATCGAGATATGATTTTTTGGCCATATCGCCCAGCCCTACCCTGATGCATATTAAAATTTCTGTCATGACAACTGTCGGAGTGTTTGGCATGGATATGACAAAGTTGAAATGTTTGGTCTTGGCGGAATAGATCTGCTACGTTGCTGAAGAGCAACTACATCACTTGCTACTGCCCAAACGTACATGACATGCTGCTGTGAGCAAGTAAGACATGCTGCACTGCTGCTGATGTACAATAACGTATATGAATTACCCGTAGCAGATGTGAAGCTGGGGAAGGAGGAGGGTTTCTGAAAGCACACTGCACTGCTATAGCTAACCAGTATTTGAAGGTTGAGCAGCGAGCTCATTGGCTACTGATACAGCAGGAGCCAATCAGCTGTGCCCTATAGAGAATATCGTGATTGCAAGCAGATTAGTTAAGGGCCCATTAGCCAGTGTCATCTATAGTTTTAAGAAAGAATGTACTGTATATGGCATTAAAGGAGTAGTTCACTTGTAAAAAAAACTTGAAAACTGAAAATTTACTCACCCCCATGTCATCCAAGACGTCCATGTCTTTCTTTCTTCAGTCGAAAAGAAAAGAAGGTTTTTGATGAAAACATTCCAGGATTTTTCTCCATATAATGGACTTCACTGGGAACCAAACGGTTCAAGGTCCAAATGAGAGTTTCAGTGCATATTCAAAGGGCTTTAAATGATACCAGACCATGAATAAGGGTCTTATCTAGCAAACAAACAAATCTTTTTTCGAATGAAATGAACGAAATGACTCGAAAACGAGTCATTTTGATGAACAAGTTTGTGACAGGAGAGTCACGAACGCGCATCACAGAACAGAGCAAGGCGAGCATTTGTGCTTATAAAACTTTAACTTTTTTAGTTATTTTTTAAAGGACTGATCATTTCGCTATAAGACACGTATTCATCGTCTGGTGTCGTATAAAGCCCTTTGAAGCGGCACTAAAACTCTCATTTGGACCTTGAACCGTTTGGTTCCCATTGAAGTGCATTATATGGAAAAAATCCTGGAATGTTTTCATCAAAAACCTTAATTTCTTTTCGACTGAAGAAAGAAAGACATGGACATCTTGGATGACATGGGGGTGAGTAAATTATCAGCAAAAGTTTTTAAAAAGTGAAACAATCCTTTAACAACTAGTTCAGTACTTTTGTAAATGTGGTTGTCACGACCTTAATTTTTTTTTTTCAATACCTTGGCCTTAAATTACAGAAATGTTTAGCAGTATGCAGTGTTCGATTCAGACACTTTAGTTCCATTCTGAGTCTAGCACATACAACTCAGCATCCAAAGTAATGTTTTCCACTCATTACCAAGACATTAAAGGTGCAATACCTAAGATTTTTGCATTAAAATATCCCAAAATCACAAGGCCAGTGTTATATATTTAGTAAAGATGATAACTCACAATATTTCAAATGTTTCAAACAATGTTTAAATCGCGAGAAAATTGAGATTTTAACCAAGGAAACGGCACGTGTCAGCAGGGGTGAGCTGGGAGTCGCGAGTCAATCGCGTCATATCCGCTTACCTCGGTTTCCGCTCTTACTACGTGTAGTCCTGGACAAATGCGGTAGTTGTAGTTGTGCGTTAGCGCCTATCAAACGGCAGCTTGTTTCGCGCATTTGTTATGGAATGGAGCACATATATTCTTTTCATTTATTCTCGGAATGTGAACTGTTGGCTGTAAAGGGGGTCGCACACCGGACGAGAAGCGCCGCGTCACGTTTAGGACAACTCCAGTAACGTTATCGAACACCGGACGCGCACTTTCTCATCAGTGTATGGCCAGCAATATTGTTATGTTTAATGACAGAAAATGAAGATAATGTCTGTTCTATGTCTGTTCTATGTTATGATTGTACTGTACAATTAAATACAATCGTTGCTGAGTCTGCATTCTGAAAACTTTACCTCAGATCATCCGTTCACAGAATGAATTGAGAATCTCACGTGAAAAATCTATTAATAATCAGTAATTGTCATTCAAGCAGCTGATTTCTGTAAATGACTGCAAAACTAAATGCATAGATATTGCAGCATAGGGCAAAGTCAGGATCCATTAGCAACGGTTTGAGGCAAAAATAATTACAATTTTATATAAAACTATGTAAATGGCGCTCTGTGGCGCAGCAGGGTTTTGAACACGGTCCTGAAACGTTGCTGGGCGCCGCGGACAGACGCCGAATGGCGCCGCCGGTATGTGTACACTTATAGATAATAATGTGTTCGAATAATTATGTGGTGCAACGCGGCGCTGCAGCTTCTCGTCCGGTGTGCGACCCCCTTAACGTTAATTTTGTGAAACTGTAGCTGTGGTTGAATACTTACACGACATGAAAAGATGTGTCAAATGTACATTGCAGACATCCCAAGTCTCCCGGATCTCCCGCATATTGATAGCGTTTCCCTGATGCCCGCAAATTAGTTCAAATCTCCCGGGATATAATGTTAGAGCGAGACATACATACTGCGCGCATAACATACAGCGCGCTGCGCGTGCACTGTACAGAGGGAGAGACTTTGCGTTTGTGCCTCGCGAACGCGAAAGTTAGCCTTCCCTCCCACCCCCACAATCTTGTTATCGAAATATATATCTCCCGGAAATGAATTCTTGCAGCTTGGGATAACTGACATTAAATTGATTTTTTATTTTTATAAAGTTACCAAGGAGGGCCAACCACGTCAACTCCTTGCGAGAGACCTGCCCCTTCAAACCCTCTTCGTCCAGTGACTCGTACAGTAACATCTGTGATAACTAATTTACTTTTAAACCTGACTTTTCTTGCACGGTTATTTCAGTTTAATGAAATACAAGCATGTCATTAAACGCAACGTTTATAGAAATCGAACTTTACCTCATCCATGACAACTAATTTTCGATTCCCGTCTGACTGATTTATCCACGGTGGAGTTGAAAACAACAGTTCCCATCATTCCGCGTTCCTCCACGGCGTCATCAAGCAAAGCCGTTGTTGTTGTTTTGAATGTAGCGCCCTCTAGCGGCATCTAGATCTTATGTATTGCACCTTTAACAGCAATAGTTAATCTCAGCAGGAGGCACCTACTTGATGGCTTTATTTTCTCCTCGGCCTCTCCCCGACACAGACACCGAGTCTGGGGTCCCCGCTGTCTCCACCCCCGGCTTATTCCTCATCCCCTTCAGAGATAAAGAAAGAAGACAGAAATGTAAGAGAAAAACAAAAAATAGAAGGGAAGGAGAATATTGCCTGATATTATAGGATTCAGGTGGCATATTTCAGCAAATTCTGTGCAATTGCTGCAAGTTACACGGTTTAATTAACCAGTAAAGTTTGATAGATGGACTGATAGAGCTAATGCACACCAACAACAGCCAAATAGAGGATTTTTACACAGATATTAATGACAAGCCCGAGACCCTCTGGGTGTTTACACATTAGAGAAGCTGTTTTGATAGATTGGAAAGCATAAGATATCGAAAGAGCCAGTCAGTCTGGAATACAGTGAATTGGATCAGCAGAAGCGAATGTCTACATCTGAGTTTGTTGCAAAAGTTGACATTTTCTTGAACATGACTGGGATGCTATCTAAGTAAAGTTGTTAAATACAGACTCAGAGACTCAAATATGACCAAGCAAAAGCAGCCAAAGAGGGTGTAAACACAAGAGGGGGAAATGAACAGGCACTTGGGGCAAAAAAAAAAATGCCAATAAAATGTACAAAAGTACCACCCAAATTCAAGATGAGAGGGCAAAAACTGCACAATGAGTTCCCCAAAACACAAAAAGTGCTTTGTATATTCCATTAATTAACATTGCTATTCATTATTCAAATATCAAAATCAATAGTTATTTTTGCCAACGTTGATTCCACTAAACAAGTTCATTTCTGACCCTGGTAAACGCATACATTCTACATGCCCTGAAACTGAAAAGCTTCCTTTCAATGGACATTCAACCCTAAGGACTACAGTTTAGCTTGAGTAAACACTCACGCATCAATAATACACCATATGCAAACAGTTGTGCTATTGGCAGACAACTGAGACAACTCTACTGATCGATTCAAGCAATTACATAAAGGCTAATTACATCATTTCCTGTCTGTCAAAGATGCACTCCTCCCCACCATCTCTTGATTGGCCAATCCATCTCAAAGTGATTCTGCAGGTGGAGTATTCATTACAAAGTCCTCTGAAAGCCATCAGCCGCCAGCAGTTGTGTAAGAGATGATAAATGATCGGAACGGGAGGAAGAAAGAGCAGCGTCTTGGCCCGGGCACAGCAATAGCCTGCCAGTTTCAAGCATTTAAATTACGGCGGCTGCCAACATGCAATCGCTCCTCTGCCATGATCTGTCTACCGATGTAATGAATAGTTACAAAAGAAAGGAAGCGAAACAATTGTGTTCATACACAGGTACAAACATCTTGTGACTTGCAACGCAAGTGCACTCATTTAAATCAGAACTTGTGCCACGCCCCACAGGATGTGGAATTAGTGTAGAATTTGAATCGGAATTGCAGGAACAGGAATTTAGCTAAATAAATTCTGCAGTCAAACAACATTCATTATGACTGATTATGCGTATTTTTTTCATAGATGTAAAATACTGTTTTTCTTAACCGTTAAATATCACCACAGATAAATCTTTACAGAGGTGTTATGTTAGCATCAATGGGATAATATTATGTTCTTTATTAACATTTTAAATTAGTTTATATTAAAGTTGTACTCATTTTGATGCATGTTTTTGCATTTTTCATTATTTAAAAAAATATGCATGTATAGTTTTTAATTCTTATTTCAATTTTAGTTATTTTATTACACCAAGTTAAACAAAATGAAAATTAGAAAGTAGAACATGTTTTTTATATATTTTATTTCAGTTAACATTTTTTTAATGTTTTTTAAAACTAATGTTTTACTTTTAATTAACTATAATAACCTTGGTTTAAATATGAATATAAATATTAATAAATTAATTAGAAATGTATTCGAAAAAAAATAATATTAACAAATTGAAATATATAGATTAGATCCTATATTAAAGAAATTAGAGCACAATCTTCCACCATACCCCATAAAATGTATCAATATAATGATATATAAATTATTAAATATAAATATTTGAAATGCAAAAGTTATGTCTCTTGACATAGTCATGTGTATGTTGTTAATGTTTGGTTCATTTACAGAGCAAGATGAAGAACTACACTTACAGAAGTTCTCTTTTTTGACCTTATTAATTCTTTAATCTACATACTTATTAAAATTATGCAAAATTATGTTACACATCCATAAGAGATGTAACTCACCAGTTCTGCCTTTGAAAGACCTTTTGAAAATGTTAAAAGTTCATGCAGTACTGGAAACTGATTTGTATGTAGTTCGGCTGATGTAAGGAAGAACAATTAAAATTAATGTAGAATAACTGGTCTCATGCATATTATCCTGCTCATTAAAACCGCGGGTCAACTTCACATGCTACACTGTTTTAAAGTTTAAAAATGGTGCTAAAAGAGACTGTAAAATGAAGCTGTCAGGCTGTACAGTTGACCTTTGCTTGTTAGATTGAACAATATAACCCCGATGAGATCTTAAAATTACTTAAACTTAAAAAAACGTGCAATCTTTGTTGCATAAATTAGGATAGAGATTATTACACAACTTCTCAACTTCTCAATAAATAATATTCTGTTTCTGTTTTGCCCCCCCCCAAAAAAATAGTAAGCACGAACCGCTAATAAGTCATACTTCTTGCATATCCTCTCAGACAAACACATTTGTTTAAGATGAGATCTCTGACAGGTATGCAGTATGTGTGAGAGAGAAGCAAAGGGAAAGGGAAACAGCAAAGATAGAGTAAGGGGTAGGTTTTCAAACAGAATTTACAATCACAAAAGGAGAATGAGCAAGGAGAAATATGATATCATCGACTAAGAAAAAGAGAAAGACAGAGGAGGGAAGAAGATTTTTCACAGGTGGTTTCTTGGTGGTAGTCTCACAACAGGTCCAACTCGGCCCTCACACTGTCTGTCACATGTTAAGAGTGCTTTATTCTCAGATCTTCTTTGCTGAAACTCTCCGTCACCTCACCTGCACTTCTCACCATTATCTTATCTGCACAAATTACTGCTGAAAAATGATTCCCCTCAGATACAACAGAAAGAAAGTGTTAGACTAAAAAAAGATGGACATGCAACTCTTGTAATATATAAAAGTAAATAAATGTAATATATAAAATGATACATGAAATTATATATGATATGTTATAGAATGATGGATGGATGGAAAAATAAAAGAAGGATGGATGGATGGATTGGAAAGGGATGGATGGATTGGATGGATGGATGAATAAATAGAAGGATGGATGGATGCATACAATGATGGATGGATGAATGGATGGATAGAGAGATAGAAAAATAGATAGAATGTTGGATGGATGGATGGAACAATAAATAGAAGGATGGGTGGATGGATAGAACAATTGAACGAGATGGATGGAACAATAAATAGAAGGATAGAAAAATGGATGACGGATGGAATGATATGGATGGATGGATGGAACAATAGATTGAATGATGGATGGATAGAACGATATGGATGGATTGATGGAACAATAGATAGAATGATGAATGAATGGATAGAACAAAAGATAGAACGGTGGATGGATGGATGTAAAAAATAGATAGAATGATGGATTGAACGATATGGATGGATGGATGGAACAACAGATTGAATGATGGATGGGTAGAACGATATGGATGGATGGAAAGAACAATAGATGGAACGATGGATGGATGGATGATGTATAGAACAATAGATAGAACGATGGATAATGATGGATAGAACAATGTATAGAACAATGGATGAGTGGATGAACAATAGATAGAATGATGGATGGTTAGAACAATAGATAGAACGATGGATGGATGGATGGATGGATATAACAATAGATAGAATGATGGACAGATGGATAAAACAATAGATAGAACAATGGATGGATGGATAGAACAATAGACAGAACAATGAATGGATGGATGGATGGATAAAAAAATAATAAGCACAAACCGAAATGAAGTAACAATGAAGTCATAGATGGATGAAAGGAGGATGGATGGATGGCTGTATGATTGTACAGCATTTAATATGGAGTTAAATCATTTCAGGAGATACAAGAAATCAACTTCTGTGGACTTTCGTTCTTGTATGACACATTTTTCATCTCTCTCAACAAAGTTCTTTCAATCTTCACCAGATTCCCTCTGTTCAGAGAGTCAGAACTGGATCAGACAGGGAAAAGTAGTCTTGACCCGAAACTACCCAGCACTGTCAAATCTATTTGGGAGGAGAAGGAGAAAGCACGCAGTCTGTCGGCACGGAGAGAAGCGTGGGGTGTTGTGGGCAAAAAACATATGAATCATTAGTGAGCCCTGTGGCGTGGCAGAATGAGGTATGAGAAACATAAAGGGAGACTCTCGCTGCGCAGCCTTACATAACGTATCCCGGCTTATTCACTCATTAAGGATCTGTTGTTCTTCTGCTATTGATCAAAAGACTGACCACAGCCGTTTTAATTGAAAGAACAACATTAATCCTAATGCAATATTTGAAAAGGGGTTTGTTTGGTTCAGAAGAACTCATGAGTGATGTTAGAAAAGGTGAATCTTACAAAAGAAAAAAAAAAATTTTGCTTAAAGCAAAATACTTAATTGGTCTACAATAGGTTTCATTGTGTTTGTGACATTTTCTTGACAATTAAGCACATTTTACATTTACATTTACTCTTTAGCTGACGCTTTTATCCAAAGCGACTTACAATAGAGGGAATGCATTGACGTCACTTTCCCGCCGAAACAACCTCCCTCAGCCTGACAGAGTGGCAAAAGATCTGCTGTGAGACTGGATTTAATAGGGGAAACTGCGAAAATACGACAAAAATTAAAAATTGTATCAATTTAAACTAAATGTTGGACTCAATATAGTGTTCCTTACAACTTACTAAAGATCCAGTGATCCATGGATATATATATCAGGCAGGAATCGTGTTGCCTGACATTTATGTTTGCCTGATTTTGACACCGGGGAAATAAAAGCAATATAGACCTAAACGCTTTATAAAAATACAATATAGGTAGGTCTAAATAAATAATAATAATTATTAGGTGTTCAAGCAC